GGAGGAGGAGGAGGAGGAGGAGGAGGAGGAGGAGATGCGATCTTGATATTGTAATCTTTGGCTGAGGAAACTAAATGCTAGATCCCAATCATGGCCCTCTGGTATGTGGGCACCAAAACGTGCTGTTCCTCCTAAAAAAAAAAAGATTGAGATTCTCATCCTAATAAAGTTCAACTTTATGAGATTAATAAAAAATATTTTTCCATGATCTATAAGAAGTATTATAACCAATGCTAATGATACTACAAGTCTTACAAAAGTTATATTCACCATGTTTTATATTAAAAGAAAATCAAATCACAAGAAGCTATTTTAAGTTTTTATTATTATTATTATTTTCAATTAATAGTGGAATACAAAAAATAAAACATTGCTATTTTAAAATCAGCATGCACACCTTTAAATGGGTACATGGACATCTACTTCAGACCTTATGCCAAGAAATAAACAAGAGATATTATTAAGTATAGTAAAGATGTTTAAATAATGTTAATACTGTACAGAATGGTGCGCAATGCAGTTTCTAAAGGAATGCTGTGCAGTTTTAGTCTTAAACTCAAGTAGCCAATTCTTATTTAAAATGTATTTATCCCACTTATAAAGTTGACTGATTTCATAGTGACTCTGAGCAACATACAATATTAAAAACAAATGAACAACACTGGGAAAATAAAATTGCATGTGTCTGGAAAGTAAAACCAACATCTCATCAAAGGAGACTGCTACTAAATTTAATTCAAAGCTTGTTTTAAATGCCACATTTGAAGAACCAGGTTTTAACAAGACATATACAAATCTCAGATAGGGTTGTTCCAGGCGGCAAGCACCATGATATCAGATATTTGTAATAGAAAGACCCAAAGTATATCAACTGTCATCATAGGACAGGCAGATACTGTGGAAGACAGAACATCCCTCAAAATGTAATCCTTTTAAATCCAGATGTGATTGGAGAGATATAACATCTGATTAAAAATGGTTGGAATTAAGAAAAATACAGTTTACTCTGCAGATGGATATCTTTTCCACCTTCATATAATCCTCAATGCTTCTCGCAGGACACAACAGGTGGTCTTCTACCCAAATATAATTCTGCCCCCATATTGAATGCAATAAAATTCTGCATTCAGTTGGAAATTCTGTTCCTTGTTCGATAAAACTTCCATTTTAAGGAGATGAAACTGATCAAACAACCAATTTATAATCCTACTTATAATGTGCTATTTAAAAAAAAACAGCTGGGGAGATGATCAATGTTATAAATTAGAAATATAGTTAATTATAAGGGTCTTATTGTTTTACTTTTTTTAAGAGAAACATTATTAGACAAGTGAAAGAATTGGATTGGGAATGTAAATATAGAGAATGTATGAAGATCACAATATATGAAGATGGCATTCAAAATTAAAGAATATGAGTTGCTTCACAGGAGCCAATTCTCCTAGATGGAGACCATCCAAGGCTGAGGAGAGGAACAATGCAGTGGGAAAGAAGTTGGACTAGATGATCTCCATGGATCCTTCCAATCTTTTAAGTTTGATTTTATAAATTAAGTGTGTAGCACACACTTAATCTCAGTTTACTGCTGCTGCCTTTTCTAAAAAAACAAAATTATACATCTGACCAAAAGTAATCAATAAGGGAAACCTTGGGGTCAACTGTTTTATAAAAACATGAAAGTAATGTTGACTTCAAAAGGGAAATGGATAGGAATTTTTTTTTACTTTCATGCTGAGAACATAAAATTGCCAAAATGATTTAAAATGTACTATTTTAAAAGTAAAAAAAATCCTCCACCTTGGTATAGTTGACTATATACTAACAGTTAGAAAATAACAATAGAGCCAGGCCTTCAATTCATTAGGTGTATTGTTTCAAAATATTTGCCAGATTGAGGCCTGCGGTCTGCACAACTGGCAGCAATTTTCTTAGGCACTTTTAGTGATATGTACTTGGAATGATCAGGCATTGAAAAAGTGGCCAGCTCAAGCTTATGGCAGCCTTTCTGAAGATTTAGACTTTAAATTAAATAAATCAAGGCAGAACTAAATGTCGGGGGAAATGTAACAAAGTATATTTAAATATGTTTTATACAAGATTGGATTGTGGGTGTCACTGAGACTTAATGTTTCAGAGAATTCTTGGTATCCTATGATCAATATAATCTGTTTAAAAATTAAAATCTTACCAATCGTTTTATGGACCACTGAACAGTCACAGAAACAAGCATTGGTTTTAGGATGAAATGTGCAGCTTGGCTGTCTTCAAGTCAGCCAAAACTGCTATGCCTATTTGACTGGCCAGAAAAAATACCAACATCTTTGTTTCAAAAATATAATTCCATGAAATATTTTATATTAACTGTTTTCTAGTTACTAATTCTTTGCTGGTTTATTTCAAAAGCGGTTCACCACAACTTTAGTTTGTTATGAATGCAGCTTCATGAAGCTTTTCATCAATGTTGCCAGCTTCTCAACATCTTCAATCGTCACCGCGTTATACAAAGATGCCCGAATTCCTCCCACAGATCTGAAATACGAAGGAAAATGGGGAAGGGAGATGAGAGGGGGTACATGGTGACTCCTTTTCACAAAGACATTTATTTCTTGGCAAATGCCAAAATAATTTCTTTATACTGAAAGTATATAAATTTCTTTATACTTTATTCATCCACAATGACTTTTTACTGTTCTGCAAGAATATAACCTTCCAGCAATATGAAACTGGGAAGAAAAACACATACAAGAATGCCCCAAAGGTACTTTTCCAAAAGAAAATTGGAACTTTCTTGGGGTTTCTTGGGGATTTTTTCCCTTGAAACCCGAAGAAGCTTTTTGGATGAGAAGCAAAAAATTTTCAAGGAAAAAAACGAGAAAATCCAGTTCCTTTTGGGAAAAGCACCTTTGGACAATAATGACCTGGATGATTGAGAATCTCCATAGATGCAACACAGAAACAAAGGAATGGAGAATCTACATGTAAGGACTATGTTTATAGATGAGTATATATTTTCAACAAGGATCAGCTGAACACTGGAAAAACTTGGGCTCTATTGGAGAATGCATCTGCATCCTAAATCCTAAAGTAATTGTGAAAAATTTCCAGTGGTCGACATTACACGATCATGAGGTCAGAACCAGAAGAGGGTGTTTTTCATGAGGCTCAGAACCAAACAATTTGCCCTTTCAGATTAGTATCAATGAAAGAGACTAAATTATGTTTTTCCCCTTCTGAATATCACTAAATGGATCCTGAAAGGATCCTGAATCACCCAGTATGTACAGTGTGTCTTCAGTATCCATATTTCATCTTGAAATTATCACATTCACATGTTTCAAGACTGCCAAAACTGCTCTGGGAACCAGAAATTATTGCTTGAGTGAAAAGGTTATATTTTTAAAAAAGATACATAAGCAAACATTTGCACCTTATTTATATACTACTAAAACTCTTGTGCCTATTCATCTTTTTGTAACTTTCAACTGGACGAAACAGTGCATTATAGGTCAATTGTTTTTGAATCAATGTAACTCAAATGGGCTAACTTATAGAATGTATCCTAAATCCAGGACCATTATTTCTATGGGGTTGTGGCTGTTTCAGCTCTACCACACTACCATGTTCAGCTGCAGTCATATGACTGTCATTTCTAATACTCCCTAACAGCTTCCTATAAGTCAATGGGGAAGGCAGCAGGAAGTTTAAACATGGTTATGATTTTCAAGCTCCCTGCTTGCTTCTCACTGGCAAATTCATTGGAGAAGCCAGCAGGAAATTGAAAATCCAAGCCCAGCAGGCAGGAAAACTGCTGCTGCTGCATGGGGAGGGAGCAAGGGGATGCACAAGAGGTGGGACAAGGGTCATGGAGGATGTGAGGATGTAAAGATGTAGTGAAGTTGGAGACAGTGCACAAAGGTGTTGCATGAAGAGAGGGTGTGTGTGGATGTGTAAGTGGCTGGCATAAGCGCACAGGGATTAACGGAAAGCAAGTGGCTGGGAAGGACTTATTCAAGCAACTTGCAACCTTCCCTGATGGCTTCTCCACTGACTATTCTCCCTGCAAGCTTATCACAAGCAAATTCAGTGGGGAAGCCAGCAGAAAGTCAGAAATCACTTCCGTTCCCATTTGATCATTCTGTTGATCTGAACAATGACACAGCTGAAACAATCACCCAACAGGTTTCAGGTTGTCTACTATGTGTTACATTTTTGTCCATTAATTCTGAAAACAGAAGGTATTTGTCATTCTTGAATGAGTATATGTGGATGTATCCACACATATATTGTAAACCACAAGCTCAAAACTCATTTTATCCTGACATATCCTAGAAAGACCTGAGACAAAGGGTCCCCCACCACCACCGCCCCAGATCTCTGTCTTACCTGTGACCTTTCAGGGATATCATGTTGTTTTCTACAGCTTTTTCAAGGAATTCTTTTTCTAGAGCTTCATCACCCTTAATACTGCCAATCCGGAAAGGCACATTCATTCTGCTTCTGCTCTTCAATTCCACGGGGCATCTGTAAATGTCACATACATAGATGCAATTACTGCCTCACTTTTATTGATTTGTTATTATATATTAGCTGATGTATTGAATTATTAGTGAGCTAGTTATACTTCTAAATAGCATGGTATTTGTTCAGTCACAGTAGCTGCTTTCCTCTGCAAAGATCTATTCGAGAGATAATGACATGGCATTTGAAAATTCTGTTCAACAAAGGGAATTTTTTCCAGCAGTTTTCTCCAATTTGGAGTCCACTTGATATGCTGGAGGTCAACTTTCATTATTCTTACCCACCCCGACCAGATAAGCACTTCTCATGCAGAGGACATACGTGATTATTATGCACACCAGCTTGCATTGCACTGAACACTTAACATGTTGCGAATCAGAGTCAAAGGCTAATTAATGTGAACAGTCCTTAATTTTTCTTTTAAAAAATCATTAAGCCTTTGAAGCTTTTCTTGAACTAAAGCATAATTCTCATTAGTTAATGTAAGAGCCCTGAGAGACCAGAAGAGAGAGACTAGGCTGAATCCTACTGATTTTCCCCAGTGTCTAATTTGAAGAAGCATATCACCTCTGGCTCCAAGAGCAGTATATATAAAAGTCATGGCAATTGCCATAAATTCTTGGATTCACGCATGCTCTTAAAGAGATAATTGTTTTATAAGCACCAAAGAGTAATTAGTAACTAAATTAAAGGAGTAACATTTTAAAAGGCGGCAACAGTTATTCGAAAAACTGTAATCTCTCTAGTTCTTCCAAACATAAGCTTCAACTAGACTTCCTCACCTAAACAAAAAGGAGGCACTGTATAGATCCGTGATGGTGAACCTAAGGCATGAACCTCTCTGTGGGCATGCCAGCCATCACCCCAGCCCGTCTCCCCCATGCATGCACGCGTGCCTCCCGCCGGCCAGCTGGTCTTCAGGTCTCTGCCACACATGCAGAGCGGGGGGCAGGGGGCATGTGGGGATGCATGTGCACATGCATGGGGGCGGGTTGTATGCACGAGGGTGCTTGCATTGCATTCTGGGGCCTCGTACAGCACCCCCATGCCCCGTTTTTGCTTGCAGGTTGGTGCAAGGGGCCTTCCAGGCCCAAAACGGGGTAGAGCACATGGGGGGGACAGTAGCACACGCATTGCATTATGCACGCTTTCGGCACACAATGACAAAAAGGTTAGCCATCACTGGTATAGGTAGAAGGACAAGGCCAAATGGCTTAAGCCATAATACTTTCTTGAGACATGATTATGCTTTGTCTTCAGTTCATTGCGCTCAATTTAGAAGGAATTTTAAAAATATTTGTACCACAAGTAACCAACAAACCAAGCATCGAACTGGTAACTGTAAGATATGCAGAGTTACCCTATGGTAAGATGGGCGGCCAATACACTTTATAAATAAATAAAATATCCCTACAGTTAGTACGATGTGTTAAGTCCAAGACTCTGAAGTTTATCCCTAGACAATCTGTATGAAACTGTTGTTAAACTGTTCCTTTAACCACATTTCAGAATAAAGATGCTTAAAAAATGAGATGGGAAAGAGGCTCCCATTGGAAACTAAACTGACTCCAAGATGGGGCAACAACAAACAAATTTCATTTGAACAGGGCCAATTTTGAAATGTGTTTGAATATTAGTATTCAGTATTAATATACTTGAACATGGGCGGTTTTATTTAGTGTAAATTTAGTCTTTAATTTTACTTTTTGATTGGAAACTTGGGGAAATAATATTTTACCTGCCAGATACCATAGCCTGAAAAAAAATTGAATCGCCCCCCTCACCGTGACACTGGGATGAAAGTTGAAGTTCCCTAGAGAAATAATAATTGCCTAGACAGTGTGTTTCTTCAACTGATAATAAGTAGAACTGGAAGTGGAAGCTGTTCTGCTGTTCCTCTACACCTGGCAGAGCAGATCCTTGGTGACCTTTTGCCTGTACTTGAACACACTGCCTGGGCTCATACATTGCACTAAGCCATCGTAAATTTTAATATGTTGTTTGCAAACCATTTCAAGAAATGTTTCAGGATAGTTTATTAAAAATTCAAGAAAGTCTATTAGGATTGAGAAGAGACCCAGAGTTGAAGGGGAAAGGTGATTCAAGGTACATACATCACATCTGTCGGCCTCTCCTTAAATGAAATAAGTTTCCTGAGTTATACAAGCCTTATGGAATAAACACCCCATTTACTCCAATCATTTCTTTCCTTTTAAAATCTGGATTTCTGCAGAAACTTTCTATTTATGACTTAGTATGTTCTGGGCATCCAGCCAATTGTGATTCTTCAATCATGGTTAAATGAAACCTGTTAACCCACCTCCATATTATACAGTAGCTATTCCACACATATTTTGCATATTACTTAAAGGAAAGAGGCAGCTGTATGGTGAAGCAAGTTGTTAATTGGCAACTTGTTATTTTATTTTTGAACTGAATTCCCTTCTTTTGCCAAACGCTAAATCAAACTATAAAACTGACCAATCTTGATATTAGGACACACTTCTTTACTTTAAAAGGTTATGTTTTTCTGCCCCTTCCTACAGAGAAAAGTTTTAAATATGTTTCCAAAATATTTCTGCTTTGCACAGTAATGTTTCATGTGACATGTTCTTCTGTTTGCTATAGAGTCATAGTCCTTCTTTTGTGTTTATCGAAAAGGATGCAAAAGGCCTCTGATGTGATCATTAACTTCTTTGCTTGCCTCTAACATGTTGATTTGCTTCAGTGGCAATTTTAAGGAAGTTAATTCCCTCTTTCTTGACATGAACAGATATATTCAGGCATCAAGCCATGCCTTATTATAAGCCCCTTTCTTTACAGGAATCATACTTACGCATAGAATCCTTTAGATTTGTCGATAATATCATAAATCATTTGGGATTTCTTTTGGCTTAGTTTATCCATAGCCATAACACCGCCATTGTTTTTTATCCACTCCAAGACCAAGCCCATGATGTAGATACTGGAATCAAGAAGAAAAAGCACCAATTACTTATTCAAAAAATTCTGCTTTTCCAATATAAAATATTAGGCTCAGGAAATCTAGCATAGAATTGACTCAAAACTATGGAGATTTGAAAGAGCAGGAAAAAGAAAATCTGTAACTGTATATCAAAAGAAATTTCCATCAGAGCAACAAGCTTATTGGATAATTTTCTATCATAGCTGTAGAAAATATTGTGCAAACATCTATGCGGAATATTAGTCCCTTTTAGGGCCCCCAAAATGCATAAAATGAAAATCTTTGTCCATTTAGTTGCTGTTGCATTTTGAAAACATCTAAAACTTACAGACATCCATTTCACTTTTCAAAACTCCTGAACACGCTCCTCAGATACACTTTGACCAACTCATTTTTGGAGAAGACCCTTTACATGCAACAGAAAACCTGATGTGATCTTTAAGTAAATGGAAACTGCATGCTCCTGGCAAAATTGCAAGGAAAATAAATTTTCTGCAAGGGTGGAATATTTAATCTCAGTTTAAACAAAAGAAAGGAAAAGGAATTTGTCAAAAATAATGCTGGTGTTATGCACGTAATATCCTCACCTATCCATTGAACTAACTATCCATCTGTTTCTTTCATGCCTATACTGTAGCATAATGTTTGCAAAGCTACTTGCCAACAACAATTACTACAACTCAGTAGCTTTCATGCATTTGTTAGCTACCATTTTCAAAGAAAGTTATTGCATGGAAATGAAAGCACAAAACGCAAGCAATTCACTGAGTGCAATTTTAGCTACGAAATTGCTGAAGCAGGGGCCTTTCTTATGGACTCTGTTTTGCACAATAATAAATTGTGTGTACGTTTGCAATACTTCTAAAAGGTTTTCTTTTGTTATAGTGTTTAATAAATACTTCAAAAGTATTAGACCAGCATTCTCCAATCTTGGGTCCTTCAAAGATTAGAATTGCCTTCAGGTATTAGCCCAGTCTCAGAATTTTTATACAATGTGACCTTTGAATTTGTCTTTAAAAAGCACAAGAAATCTCCATCCTAAATGCTTTTAATTCGTTTGCAGGTAAACTTTTGTACATTTCTGAACAACAATGCAAGAGGCTGGAACTAAATATTTACCACAATAACTAGTATGAATACTCTACACTAGAGTTTCAAACAATTTCAAGTGCCTTTACTCACAAAATCTCTCAACAATCCTTTCAACCCACTTTGAAAAATATTTATTATCCTCTTGCCAAGGTTAACGGTATTCAAAGCCTCTAAATACATTCAGAGCCAAAGAAGGCTTTGAACCAAAATACTCCAGCTTCTTAGCTACTATGAGAAGAACTATGTTCACTGAATTTGAGGGATATTATTATAAATCAACAGTCTTGGGACTAAACTATTGTCCAGCACTTAACGGTATTAAAGCCAACAGTGTCTTCAGTCTTTCAGTGGCCAGTATAGTCTTACCACTGGTCCAGTCTTTAGAAGCTATATGCTCAAAAGTTACAATTCTTCACAGACCTGGTGCACTCTAGTCCCTGTAAAACAAGTCTCAGAGAATGTGGCCTTTTTCAGGTGAATGCTCCAAAGAAAAGCTTTGTGAAACAATGTTTAAACTGAACATTTTTTTCTTTAAAAACATTACAACAAGGAAAAAGAAAGCAACAGTAATAAGTGCCTTGGGTGCAATTCCAAAACATCTGGAGTACCACTTGAACACCAACGGCATTGACAAAATCACTATCAGTCAATTGCAAAAGGCAGCTTTATTTGGAGCAGCTTACATCCTGCAAGGACACCTTTTATACCATCATACAATATCTGCCTATCCCAGGTTCTTGGGGAAGGCTCGATAGGTGGATATAAATGCCATATACGGTCTAAACATGTGGTTTATTATGTGACCAGCAATAATAGTTTATTATTGTTTATTAAACTTGCATGCTGCCCAACTCCCAACAACTCTGAATAGCTGAAACGATGTAAAAACTTACAAGAAGAGAAATATTGCCACTCCCTAAGATTTTGTGGCCTTTTGGCTTTTTATTGGCAGAATATAATCTGCCAATAATGATGACAGCATTCAGTTCATGAGTCTCTCCCCCCCCCCCGCCTCCCTGTGCACTCTTGCTAAGTCAGATTTGCTTATCCCTGTTGGCCAATGCAGAATTCTTTCTCCACATTGAGCTGAATTTCAACTAAGCTTCCCTATTCCCTAAGCAGATGGGAGGGAGGAGGAGGAAGAGGGGGGGGGGTAGAAGTATAACTGAATGACCCACTTTAAAGCCACACTGCCAGTTTCAGTGCTGTCCCTAAAGCAGGTTTAGTCATAGATTTAAATATCAGGCAAATCCTTGTAGCTAGGAAATGAGATTTCTTCTGGGGGGGAGGTTATTAATATCTACCCAGAAGATTAATGTCAGGAAGGCAAGTCCGCTATTGACAGGAAGTTAAAATGATCCACACTCCAGGAATTTAATTCAGCGCATCAGTCTGCCAACTCTTGAACATTTAATTCAGGATCTTGGCAACCCATGCTGTCACTAAAAAGGAAGAAATGTAGTAGGCAGAATTTAAAATTTAGCCAATCTCTAGCAACATACACAGCACGGCGAGTTTGATTTTAAAAATAAACTCAGAAGGCACATCCCCAGCCAATTTACAGGTTAATAATTATCATACGAGAACACAGTATGTTCTGCAAATATGCTAGTACTATTATATATCTGTGACCAAAATCTTTACCAAACATGCTGAGCTTAGAAATTTGCAGCTCATCAGCCCCAGAAGAAAAAGAGGGTTGTACTGTCCTACTGTATTATGTAGCACAAAGAACTGACTGTTCTAGGGTTAACATTTCTTGCATCACTCAAATTTTCTGAAATGTTCTTCAAAGGGTTTAAGAGTTTCCCCCAAGAGTAAGCTTAGCACAATAGGTTTTGTGTGTTGATACTAAATGGACTAGATAGGACAACGCATCCAACATTCACCAATGGCCAAAAGGGAAACACTAAGCCAGGCTTTACTTAAAATTTGGTGCCACTGGGAACAATTACTTCCCTTCCCTCCATTTCTTGATAAGTCTAGATGAGGAATAGCAATCTGGCACCATAAAGTATAAAGCTACTGTATGCATATACTCAGAAAGATTGTAGTCCAATTCTTTTGAGGTTACCAAGTTACTTGATCTGTGGTTTAGTTAAAGCGGAGCTCTACTCATAATGCCATTGGATCTAGAGTTAATGGAACAGGCAGCCACTGTCATATTGGTTTGCTTGCTGGATTTGTATCTCAACATTTTATTCAGGAGCTCATGTTCAGATATATACGGTAGTACTGCCACCTGCTTTACATCACCACAGCCAATCCTGTGAGATAGAAAGTGACTGGCTCAAAGTTCACTCCATGAGCATCTATTTCAACCAGGTGTTTGCAGGTGACATATAGAAGAGTACAGTGCGGAAGAAGACAGTCAAAGAAATGCCTGGGTTGGTTCCAAATACCTCTTGGTCCCTTCCAATGTATTGTTGGGCAATAGCAAAAAGGGAACCACCACAAATAAGCTTCATTTAAGTTTCTGTTTGCAATCGTTGCATTCCTATTCAGATATTAATTGTCCTCATATAATCACAACAACATGAGAAAGAGGATACATAACAACTAGTTCAAGATTTTCTTGGGACCTCTGAAGACTAAAGAATCTGTTCTATTTTAGAAGCCCTCCCAACTTTCCCTTCCTTTCCCCTAATGATCAAAAAGTATGTCAATTGTAGAGAAACTTCTAAGTAATTAGTAGAATGAAATTAATATTAACTTTAGCAAAAGTACCTGTAGCATGGAGGTGTGTTGTATAACGAAGAGTTTTCTACTTGCACTTTGTAGTCCAACACAATGGGGCACTCTTTCAGAGCATACCCGAGTAAATCTTCACGCACTATTACCACTGTGACTCCAGCACAACCAATATTTTTTTGGGCACCAGCAAAAATGACACCAAACTTATCATTGGGGGGGAAAAATAAAAAGAAAGATCCATTACATTCATGAGTCCATTTGCAAAACATTTATATACTTCTGACTGCTTCATTAATGCATAGAACATATTCAAGCTTGTAAATTGAATATGATCAGCCCTCATTAAGAAGAGCAGAGGCTCACCCCGGTGACCTTAAATTTGAGATCATTATATATTGCAAAATGCCTTTTGGAAAGTTACCTTTGAAACGTCCACTGGTCTGGAGAGAAAGTTTGATGACATATCACAAACTAAAACTGCTTTCCCAACATCAGGTGCAAAGTCAAACTCCACACCATGAACAGTCTCATTAGCACAATAATAGATATAAGAGGAATCTGGATTAAGGTTCCAGGTGCTTGGGTCAGGAATTTCTGAAAAAGATAAGATGATGGAAAACAATGGTTATTTTTTTTTATTTCAGCCTGTTGATTGCATTGATATGCCAGGAATGACTGTCAAAGGTCAAATGCACTGCCAGCAAAGTTAATCTCCTACTTCAGCAAGGAACGTGTTTTTTAAAAAAATACGTAAGCCTCCACAACCTTACGCAACTATTTGGAGAAAGCAGAGTGTGATAAACTGGGAGAGGAAAATCCACTTGATATAGAAAGAAAGTAATTGACTAGCAATCAAAATAGAGCATTTAAAGGAACATACTTTTTTTTTAAATACAAAAGCTCCATGTGTAATTTACCTGGTATTTCACTCTACTTTTGAATGTTAATTTTTATTTAGAAAATCATTCAGAAGACATTTTTCAAACTTTACATGGATAGAGCATCTCTGCTACTCATTAAAGTAGCCTAATTTTTTCAAGCCTCTGCATTATCCTGAAAAAAGATTGCCACTACTGCAAGAATTGCTGTAACTTGAGTCAACTTTTTAAAGCAGTAATATAAATCTTTATTACGGTCAAAGACCAGCAATACAAATTACTTTTTACAATATAGTAAAAAAGTATTGAAATTAAAATATATTTTAAAAGTATTGACATTAAAAGTGGATAATGACATACATGTTCTCAAACTGTTCGGGCTACTTCCTGGTTTATGTGGGTGAAATGCCGATAAGTATGGGAGTAAATACAATGGTCCAGAAATTATTAGAGATATGTCCAAATAATTGGTACAAGATGACAACTATAATTCAGTAACCCTTTTTTTTTCTTTTGGACATTGCAGCAACACAAAATTTTGCCACTGCATACACGGTAGGCGGGTTTGTGTCAAGCAGTCACACTTTTTAAAGCTCACACAGTAGTCGGGGGAAAAAAAGGTGGGCTGCTTTAATGAACAGTAGAGAAATGCTCTGCTGAAAATTTCTTCTAAATTATTTTTGATGCAAGTAAATTAATCCTCAATTATTTCTCTAAACATAGACTATTTATGCTCCGGAATATCAGCATAATCTTTATAAATAATCATAAAATATGAGAATTACAACTTTATACTTTCTCTGTCATTCTCTCTCACATACACCAAAATTGTTCACCTATTTACTTTGAAATCCATGAATTCCTCATGATTAGGAACCTGCCATTTCAGTCAGGGACTGAGCAAAGGTTGCTGGTTTGCATCAGAAGCAAGAGACAGAAGCAAACATTCAATACCTAATATTTGCAATACCTAGAGAAACCAACTTTGAAACACTGCAGCAAATCCAGAGTAATGCAATACATTTTTCAGAATGGAAAGGTGATGGTATGTGTCCCCTAGCTCAGTGACAGGAAACTAAAGACCTTTCAGATATTATACATTCCTATCAGCCACAGTCAATACGGTTACGAGATAAAGGAATTGTAGCCCAAATTAGTTGGCAGACACTAAGTTGCCTACCCTTGTACTTATCAGTCTTGCTATAACGTGACATTTATTTTAAAGGTAATTTGGTACACAAGAGATCACACTGGTCGGATTTCAGAACTTCAAAGACCCTTTTAAAGAAATGTATAAGTGTTAAGTCCATATTAATTATGGCCAAAGTGTATTCAAGTTAAAGAAATTTGCAGCATCTATGCCCAAGCCTGTAATGTTTAGGAGGGAAGTTCTTGAGTTCCTGCAGGAAAATTCCAATTAACTATGGAAAGCCAAGGAGATTCAGAAAAGAAGCCAAGAATATCTGGATTCTTAATATGTTTCTTTTGTGCTCGCCTGCAGAATTGTTCCCTTTCTCTTATACATTAGTTTTTGGATTTCAACCAGTTACCATGCTTGCCTGACAGATAATTATTTTTCCAAAGTAGATCTGACTTTAGCGAGTTTACCAAGTAACCAACAGTCAACGATAAGCAAATCAGAGGATCTGCACACAATGAATGCAAGTGGCTGAAATGAATGAGAAGCTGCTATTGTCTCTTCAAAGAGATCCAGGATACTTTCGATATCTGAGAATACATCAAAAGAAGATACTGAAAGCCATTTAATGGGCAGGAGGTCTAAGCCATAACAAAGAAGGGCAGGGGGAGAAATCAATGCTCTAGGTACTTAAAGTCCTCCTCTTCCATGTACAATGGAATAGTATCTGCAGTTTCTTTTTTGTTCTTCCATCCATTCATCTAACTAGCTCTCCAAACAAATAGTTGCTTGATCTGCAGAGAAGATCTCCATTGCACACATTTGCCTGCTATATATAAAATGAAGAGATCTTTATCTTCTTTTGTAAGAAGATTAAAGACCCACACGCATGAATACTATCTCTCCCATTATCCTTTCCCTACAGAAAGGTGGGATCTATTAGTTCAGTCCACCCAAGACTGATGATACAGAATTGTTTCAAGGGGCATGGGTCAGAGGGGTTTCCAAGGATCTGGTGGGATTATATGTCTGAGCTCTTACTTTCTGCCTGGAAATAGGAAGGTGACAAGAGACTTTGACTGGATTGCTCCTACGTAGCTTCTTGTTGTATAGTATTTCAATGTGGGGGGGATGTCCATTGGTTTTCTGAGGACTTCTGGGTGATAAAATATCAAGAAACAACAACAGGACCCAAAAGCACCACTGGAGAAAACTGAAAAATGAACCTAACCAAACATATGTAAAAGCCCATATTAGAGATTATATAATAGAAGAACATAATTATTTCTCCATTCTTATTATGTCTGCTGATAGCCACCCAGCTGCCTTTAATAGAGTGACATGATCATTTTGGGAGAGGGACAGACAGAGAACCATGTACTGGGCTGCTGTGAAGAATATGCTAGGCATTTAGCAGTTTTACAAAGTTGAACTCCAAATGAGCTGATCTAGATGTGATGGAGGCAACATCATACTTGGTTAGTGGAAGTAGCCTGATCCTATAACTCCTGATGAAGTAGACAGCATCTTTGAGACTGTTAACCTGGCCACTGGTTTGTTAGATTCTTGTCTATCCTGAGTGCTGAAGTCCTCCCAGGAGATTGCATGTGGTTAGTTCCATGAAGTGGTATCAGCTTCTTTGGGTATATGTGTGCTTCCACTGGTGTGCCACCTCTTTAAGAGGCCATCACTAAACCCAATTGCTCCAGACAATTTTTGTCCAGCCTCCAACCTCCCCTTTCTGTGGAAGTTTATTAAAAAGGTTGCAGTTGTAAGGATCCTGGAAAAAACAAATTATCTGGATCTTTTGTAAATAGATTTTATGCCTGGGCACAGTATTTCACGAACATTGATGGCACTTCTCAGGGATATGCAGCAGTGCCAGAAAAGGGATGCAGCTAACCTAGCCTTCCTTGACCTCTCAGTGATTTTTAATGCCATCAATCATAGCATCCTTTTGGATCAGTTGAAGGGAACTGTAGTAGGGAGGAATAAATGCAGAGAGACCCAGGCATAGAAAAATTGCATACATACACGCTTATATAATGTGAAGAATATCAAACAATAGAAAGAAAATAATCTAGTATACATTTTCATACAAGTAAGTTAACTTACTTGTGTAACTTGAAAGCTTGGGATGCACAAGGTTCACCTTTGCATATTTCTCTGCCTCCTTTGCTGCTTTGGCTGACCAACCTCCCGTAACCACGTAATCGGCACACCTGGCTTCTTTAAGCCCAATGAGATTAAGTGGAATGGCACTGAATTGGCCAGATCCACCACCTTGGAGAAATATCACTTTGTAATTGTCTGGTATATTGCTGGCAAAACAGAAGAAAGGGAGAGCAATAATTCATTAATTATGCCTGGTAAAAACAGAAGACTGCATCCAAGTAGAGAAAACTTTACAATGCATTACATTACACATACAATACATTACATTACAATATATTAATGCTTATTTAGAAATAATCACACCAAATGGTGGCTCAATTCATAATCTTCTTTTGCCAGAGTGACAAATATTATTTGTAAAGTACAATGCATATATTTACTCATATTTTAAAACTTGAAGAATCTTGATAATCTTTACACTGTTTTATTTTTTGTTGGCAGAATGCATAACTATTCTGCTTCTCAAAATGCCAGATTGAAGTTTAAAAAATGCTCAATATTGGATTAATAAGATTGAATTAGCTCTCTACGAAAGATCCCCAAGAAATCAGAACTAATTTTATCAATCACTCCAATCTAGATACATCACATGACATCCAGTTTGGAATATGCAAGGCAACAATTTTGAAATCATGCCAGCCTCCAAGGAGATGCCACATGCAGACATGTTTGGTAGAATTTGGCCTCTACAAAAGGCAAAAACTGGCAAAAGCAGCACTTATTGGACTGAAAAAAGGTAGAAGGATGCTCCTAAAACTTCAAGGCCTCTATTTTTTTAGCCTCTGTTGAAATTAAAGTATGAGCATTCCATCTCTGGAATATATCCTGAGTGGCATGCTCAACTATTGGCAGCAACTGTGTTGAGAATGAATCAAAACCCAGTACAGTATATACCAGAGATTGAGGCCTTATTAAAAAGTATATATTCTGTCCTTATTAGCACTCAGGAGCTCCATAATGAGGCATAATGGAAAGTGAAGATACTCCCAATCATGTTATAAAGCAGTCCAAAAAACAAACAGTGTGAAACTCTTGATTTCCCCCCCCAATACATTTTCCTATGCATACTAAACATTATCAAATAGTTGTAACAACTTTTGCAGAGCAATATTGTGCTTCAGCCCATCATAAGTATTTAATAATACACTTCAATGAAAAAGAGTCAAGTCATACTGATTGGCAGAATAATGTCACATAGCAAAGAGGATCTCCCTTTCTATGAAAGTACCCATTACAACAATTCTCAGGAAAATTGACAGCTACATCCTCTATGCACTCCTAGCAGAAAAAAGGATTTTAAAATCCACTCACCTATTCTCTTCTTTAGATTACCCTTTTCCCAATAGTTAATATATTTGTTTAAAAGACTGCATTGGATCTAATTAGTTAAATTTAAATCCCGTTTAGATCAGTGTGAAAAATGTCAACCTGATTTTAACAATTACTAAATGCAAAGAATTTAGTTGAGATCCAACCATTAATGTTAAGTATTATTATAGACATTAGATGTAACACATGGCTGTTACAAGCTATCATAAAACAGAAATGATAAAAGAAAACCTTCCTGAAAAAAATGTATAACAATCCCTGCCAAAAACAAATCACAAAGCGTCCCATTTTATTTCTATAGCAATAAACCATATACAGATAATGTTTCATTGAAACATCATAAATATATTACACATCCAAAGGGAAAACTTATATTGCAAGTACAGTATTTTCAGAAGTCAAGCATTTAATGGTGTGAATAAACAGGAAAACTCACAGGAGTTCACGTAAGCAGTTTTCAGCGGCTTTGAGGATTTTTGAAAAATCAGATGTTCTGTGACTCATTTCTAGAGAAAGGAAATCAAAGACATTATGTTATAGAAGCAAACATACTGTAGCATTTCAAATGGTTGCATTTTAACTTGGCTTTCTTCAGGCAGCTTAAAAAGCACCTAAGAAACTGTAAACCGAGCAGACAAATTAATTTGCTAAACTGCAAGGATGTCATGGATAAATGGAGCTTAGGCCCAAATGAGGAATTATCTATCACATGCACCAGTGAGCACATTCTACATACGTATTATGTTTCGTATACTCAATAGAGGCAAAAGAACTAAGGCCGTAAAAATGGGGCACATAGATCAGCTCCTGCCACTGAAATGACTTTCAGACACAAGAATGCAGGAACATTCCCATGCCCATCGAAGTGATAAAGAATAAGAATAATAAAGTGAAATACAATAATTTTCTTGGTTCAGAAGAAAGAGCTGAAGCAGTTGGAACCTTAGTTCATTTCATTAGAGAACATAAATGGGGAATAGTTAACAAGAGTTGGCATTACATAATACTGTGGGAAAGCTACAACAGGACCAAAACAACTTTAATACTGCTCGGTCTCTCTCTAATGATAAAATATATATGAATAAAAGAGTTGGAAGGAACCTGGGAGGTGTTCTAGTCCATCCCACATGCTCAAGCAGGATACCCTATATTATGATGGCAAACCTTTTTTGGCTGCTGTGCCAAAAGCGGGGGGAGCATAGGGGGGTTGTGCACCGGCATGCCACACCCATAATGCTATGTGCACATGCACCCTCAGCATGGGTGCATGCGTGCGATCAGTGACACACAGACACCACTTTTGCCACATTTTTTTCACCTTCCCCAGGCTCCAGAGGCTTCCTAGGATCATTGGGAGAGCTAAAATAGTCTTCCTGCCCCCCCCCCATGCCCTCCAGAGGCCTCAGGAACTTTCCGGAAGCCTCCGGAGGGCAAAATACGGACCTAAGGGGAACCCGGAAGTTCGGGAATGGTGACTTCCGGTTTGTCCATAGGGCCAGTTTTCGCCTTCCAGAGACTTGAGGGAAGCCTCCTGAAAGCCCCTGAAGGCTCCAGAGGTCGAAAATCGGCCCTACAGAGAAACCAGAACTCACCATTTCCGAATTTCTGGTTTCCCCGCAGGACCGATTTTCGACCTCCAGAGCCTTCAGGGGCCTTCAGGAGGCTTCCCTATAGGCTCTGGAGGCAGAAAATGGCCTCAAAAGAAGGCCGAAGTCAGCTGGCCAGCACGCACATGCACGGTGGCCAGCTAAAAGGGTATCACCTCACGTGCCTTGACAAATGGCTCCTCGTGCCACCTGTGGTACACGTGCCATAGGTTCGCCATCACAGCCTATACCATTCTAGACAAGTAGCTATCCAGTCTTTTTAAAAGCCTCCAGTGATGGAGCACCCACAACGTCTGAAGGCAAACTGTTCCACCGGTTAATTGTTGTCACTGTTAAGATATTTCCCCTTAATTCTAGGTTGTTTCTCTCCTTGCTTAGTTTCCATTCATTGTTTCTTATCTTGTCTTCTCAGTTTGCTCGAACCAATAGTAAAAAAATGCTACCAGTTCGGGTGAAGCAGTATTTCCGACGATCAGCTGGGCGATGATCAGCTGTGATGCATGATTTATATTAGCTAGAATCTTCGGCTTTCCTGCTGTCTAGCTAATCTAAATCACTTGGCACAGCAGATTCCCCCCCGCCACTTTTCTAATTACCTTTACAGACTCAGAAGGCTTCAAAATGTTCCTTTTTAATCATTGTGTGGGCACGCCTCAGGTGCACATGCGTGCAAAGCGGGCGCTCGGTAGCAGGCTCACCAAACCGGTAGCAGACTTCAAAGGATTATACTGCTGGGTTGACCCCCTGTTCTTTGTAGCAGTTGTTTCCCTACATTTTCATTTTTGGTAACACAAAAATGAGTTCCTTACCAAGGACGCTAATACCAAGGCCTTTGTAATCCACCAATTCTTTCTGGGCTTCCAATAATACCTGCAAAAAATATTTGATATAATTATGTTCATGTCATAGGCAAATCATATATTCTATAGAGACAAAGTCACTTAGATTCATTATTATTTGCATCTTTACATGTATGCTTTAACATTTATCCAAAAGTAAGTGGTATAATTCCACCAAGATCCTAGCCAGGTATTGCCTGATTTGAGTGTTAATAGCTCTGGATGTTTCTATCAGCTGCCAAAATTTGGTCCCAAGAGCTTCTATGCAGGGGTTGTATTCACTTACCTTCCCTACCGGTTCACAAATATGAGTGCACGCACACATTGTTGTGAAGTATGTGCTTTGTACTACTAAGTAATCTAGGCTTATTTTATCTGGACTGCAAAAATTCAGAGGACCGCTAGAGGGCAATGAGGAGATAGCAAAAACTCTTGATCTTTATTGCCAACTACTGATCATCTGAGGTTTTACAGTCTGCCATGGTAAGCCTACTATAGTATAACTGTACAATAGTATGGATTCTAAGAGGAAAAATAATTTGAAGGAGGCATTTAATCAACTTAAATCAAATGGAACATTGTCATTTCCTAGGATTACCTTCACAATCCACCTCTTCGTCAAAATTGGATTGCTTTGTCTCCTTTTCCCATTCCAATATCTATTCGTTTCTCAGCTGTTCTAGACTCACCAACACAAAAATGTCATTTAGATTTTAGTAACACAGGGATTTATTACCCTATTGAATCGTAGGCCATCTGTAACTATTTAAATATAAATATATAAAATATAAAATCTGTTTTGAAAGCTGGAATTTCCAACAAGATGCCAAGAAATGCCAGTGTGCTGTATATACTTTCTGGAGGACTTTGCCAGGTTTCCATTCCCGGATGACATTTTATACTTTTAATAATAATAATAATAATAATATTATTAAAAGGGGCCCGACTAGTAACCAATGCCAAATCCGGCGAAACAACTGGCCGCTGTGATACAATTGTATAATAATAATAATAATAATAATAATAAACTGGCATCCTGCAAAGTAAAGCATCAGCTTTCACCATCTTTATTTCCAAGATTATTTCTAGAAATAAACATTATTTTTGTTACACATTTTCTTAAGAAGTACAAAGAAATAAGCAGCTGCAACACAGCAATTATTTTTGAAGTAGCCATACTGCCAGAAAAAAAAATGATTTCAAGAAATAAAGCAGATGGACTTGTCCCTCAATCTCCTAGTACTAAGGAAACTGATAAAAACACATCTTCCCCCCCCACACTTCCCCCCCTAACAGTTTTTATATTTGGATTGTAGTTGTATTGATGCTGTTCTGCTTATAATTTACATTTCATTTACTATTGTAAGCTACCTTTGTCCAATAGAAAGAAAGGTAGGATATAAATACCATAATAAATAAATAATAGAACAACAAACAAAACAAGAGCGAGAAGTGGCCAGGAGTTTGTATAAACTAGTGTTTTATAACTGATGAGGACTTCTGCAACAATTATTCTGCAATTGGACAAGTCCACAATTGCAATTGACACGCTGCAAGAGTTCAAACATGTGAACAAAAATTCCATGAGTGTCTAGCAGCTCAAACAGATCCATGTTCTAACATTTAGCAGACCACAGTTAAGTTCAGCAGATCTCATTTACACCACTTTTATCTTGGATAAGTTACTCACAAAACAACTTTTATCATTCATCCTTCTCTTTTAGAACATTTAAAAAATCATTCTCTGTTTTGTTTCATTAAACTGTAAAGGGTTTTCTAGATCTTCAAACTTTGCATACTCTTTTGAGTTACTGTGATTTGCTGGCTCTGATAATGGGATCATCAGTTATAGATTTGGGCTTCCTAAAGATATTATCCATTGGGTCAACCTACTAAATTAACCATGTAAGCTGCCATTTTCAGAAAATTATGTATTATCCATCCATCCATCCATCCATCCATCCATCCATCCATCCATCCATCCATCCATCCATCCAAACCTAATTGAGAAATAAAGATGACTTTATACAGCCAATTACACCAGTGCCTTCAGGTGTAAATCTTACTAAACATTAAATCTGATAAAATGTTCAGCTAGTCCTACTCCATTTCAGAAATAAGGCTCTGATACAGTAATTCTTACTAGCTATCCCTAAGGTATTTTTCAAAAGGCAACTGCACTTTCTTAGATTTTTTTCCCTTGAAAATATTTTGCTTGGCTTCTTCAGTTCTGACTCTTTTTAGATTTTTGTCAATAAACGCTCTGAGTTCCTCTAGTTCTCTGGGGGCCATACAGCACATCTTTGGTTTTGGAAGTTTAGCCCTGGGAAATGGAAGGATTTAGATTCCTTGCATCGTTAGCACTCTGGGTGCTGTGTTCATTGTTGAGAGTTGTTGAGGCCACTTGGGGTTTTATCTGTACCCTCAAGGTCACCTGAGTGGATGAGTGGGTGTGGACTTGGTAGTGCTGAAAGGACTATGTTGTAGACAAGAGATAAGTGGTATTGTATCCCTCCCCCTCTGTTAAGAGAGGGCTGTTCAATTTTAACATTGGTGGGCTCATTGACCTCATTCAAACCAATGGTTCTCTCTGTCCAGAACGTGGAATTTGATGTCTTTAAAAGATGATTCAGGTTACCCTCAGGTACAGATAAATTCCCAAGTGGCCTTAACAATTCTAAGAGTGCTTTGCAGTTGACTACAAGGAATATAAATCCTTCCATTCCCCACCATTCAGTCAGAACTCAAGAAGCTTTGTGGATGAGAAATGAAACTTTGCCAAGGGGGAGAGGAAACAATAAAGTACAGTTGCCTTTTGAAAAGCACTTTGGGACAACCATGACCTGGATGATTGAGAATCTCCACAGACACTCCTTACAAGCTGCTCCACATAGAAAATTGTTTCTTTTAAAAGAGAGGGGGGCATGTCCCAGAAAAAATGTTAACTAACTCAAATAGATAGAATTGCCACTTTTTTCTAGGCCTCAGTGAGAAACACAGTTATTTTTGAAACTGTTTAGACATGCAGTTCTGCTGGAAAGCAGAAAAACCAGATATAAAAAGCCACACCTTCCAAATGTAATTGAATCAAGACAGCTGCTGATGCAACATTTTGGATTAAATTGAGTTACATACTTGGAAAATTATTCAGTTAAGCATGAAGCTGCCTAAAATTGTACCCTGTGTATCTACAATTATGTCTGCCCTACACATTCATAAAGGATTTATTCAGCAAGAGAAGACAAATAACTTTTCAAATACTTTCCTCTCTTGAATGCACAAACAAAATGGTTAGGAATTAGATACTCCAGTTTTCCCAAATGGAAAACAAGAGAACCTACTTTTTTGCATATGTCAGAATTTGTGCTCTGGGGCACAACAATAGCTTGAACATGCACTATTCTTAAAGTCATGAGGTGTGTCAATTAGCAATATGCTTTGGCTGCTATGACAGAAATACAACTTGTTATCCCTACCACGACTGAAATAAAATGAAATGAAAATGCCAAACAAGTTGGAGATCTGATTGGATTGGATCACATTAATGTTAGGAATTAAAGAGTGGGGAAATACAAAGACAAAATATTCAGCAATCCTACAATGTGGGCAGTTGCTTTGCAAATATACCTTTGAAAGAAAAAATATTATTTTTCATTTATCAATGTCTGATTTGCAAGTGTTAATGTTCTAGGTTTGGTTTTTTTACAAAAAGTAAAAACCAGTCTTTTGGATGGCATCAGATTTAGAAAAGTAAAACACCAAAATGCCAAGTTTCTATTACTTTAAACTAGGATTAAAAGATAAAGTAATACTGTGCTAAGCATACTAGGAAACTTAGTGAATCGAGTAAAATCAGCATGCTTGAAGAGTATAACTGAGATCCCTAACACCGAGTTTCCTGGACAACCATATCAACACCGTTCCCTGACACTTTTTTTTTTGCATCCAAAGTATTAGTTAAAAACGAAAATAAATTGGCCCGATGCAAAGGATAGAAGTATCTTCCCCATCGTTTCTTTCCAAGCACTGCGACGCAAAGTTTCCAAGCATCCTTCCAAAAGTTGCTCTCTTAACATGGGCACTTAAGAAAGCAACGTTCGGCCTTCCAAGTTTTAAAGTAATCCCTATTTAAACCCAGGTTTACTCGGTAGCAACGCTTACTCTCCCGGCATAGCGGCACCACAGCTCAGGGCAATCTTCCTCAATTAAACAGTGTGGAGCATCCCTCCCGCTCCGTTTATAGGACATCCTCCCGGATGACAATTCGGAGCACCTACCGATCGCGGGAGTTTCGCCGGTCCGGCGCCGAAATTGGCTACGTGTTTCTTAGCGTCCATGGTTGCCAGCGGCGGAGCTCCTCTGCCTGCCTCGATTGCGCGCCTCTCTTTCTTCTTCTTAGCTCTACTCGAACTCAGAAGCTCCCTAAACGGCAGGGCTCCTCCGAGGCTCTGCTTTTCTATTGGTTTCTTTCGCAGGGGGTATGGCAATTGCCCACGATCCGATTGGTCGGCGCTTCGCAGCCGGGCCAGTTATTGACCAGTGGCCACGAGCAGGCGGCGTGATTGTCCCGTCCTTCAGTGCAAAGCAGGAGAGAGATTGCAACATCCGTTCCAGCGAGCCGGAGAGGCGACCGAGCTTGCCGAGTCAGCGGGCTCTCCCCTCTCCTCCCCTCCGGCAGCGTTGGGTGCCGAGAGCTGAGTTGTTGGATCTTGCTGCGAAGAATAACAACCTCCGTTCGGAAGGGCTGGCTTCCACTGGAGATGTCTTATGAGCACGATCCTATGGCACGACTAGAAAGAGGATGATTCACAACAAGGCGGGACGCCCTCGGAGTATTGGACGGGAGGAATGAAATCGTTCCCGGTTTTCTACCAGCCGTCTTTAATTTCAGTTGAGCAAATTTGGGTGGGATGATGCCTGTCTTGTGTGGGCGCTAAGAGTTGACACCAACTTGATGGGACACAATCAGTGCCTTTTGCTAACATTATTATACCCTGAATCACTTCCAGCATACTGCCCAATTTGTTATATATGCCTGATGAATAGAATAGAATAACAGAGTTAGCAGGGACTTTGGAGGTCTTCTAATCCAACCCCCTGCCTAGACAGGAAACTCTATACCATTTCAGACAAATGGTTATCCAACATCTTCTTTAAAACTTCCAGTGTTGGAGCATTCACAACTTCTGGAGGCAAGCTGTTCCACTTATTAATTGTTCTGTCAGGAAATTTCTCCTCAGTTCTAAGTTGCTTCTCTCCTTGATTAGTTTCCACCCTTTGCTTCTTGTTCTACCATCAGGTGCTTTGGAGAATAGTTTAGTCTTACTATATATATGATATGGGTCCTTATCCTAAATATAAAGATATATTTATCTGAAACATTGGAGTAAAACAATAGGGACGATAGTAAGACCAATGATTCAATTCAGTGTTGAGCATCTATGTTCATCCTGTTTCACAAACTTAACTCATTGCAAATTATCTTTCAAGAAAGAATCTGGGAATTTCAGCGTAAAGCTGGGAATTTTAAAAAAATATTTTATTCAGGTTAAGGTCCAATTACACAAGGATATATGTGGTGCAATTCTCAACCCACTAAAAATGATGAGGTATAAGGATCAGGAAAGCCACTGATTTTTGAGCTATGTGTATTGCATTCACAGCATATTTCATGATTACAAAATGGACAAACTGATGTCATACTGAAAGAACAAATGTTCTCATTTGTGATAAAGGAATCTGGCAAAAACTTTATCAAATTGTTGCAGATGACCTTCCAGAAAGTACACTACAGAAAAGTTGCATGTAAAAATTGTCCAAGAACCAATCTAAGCAAATCAGAAGAGAAGCTGAAAATGAAAAATCTAAATGAGTGTTCCTTATCTCCTGATTAGTTATGCAACAAAAAAGGTCAGTATATTGATTTAAACTCTTTGACCCTCAAGCATAAAGCACCCAAGAGTAAAACGTTAACCATTGTGTGTGTCTTTTTTTCCCCTCCAGTGCAATGATAATGAAAAGTCACATTATGTTTTTTTTGTTATAAATGACATATGCTGACAGCAAATTACTGATTTTATAAGAAAGATTTAAAATAAAAGCCTAAACTATTACAATGCAAAGCACTTCATAGAAACTTGATTCATTTTGATGTTTTAAAATTGATAAAAAGTAGCTTTACTAATATACTTGTGGAAAACAAGGAATGCTTTTGGGTTGTTTTTTTTAGTGGCCACTTTTAATAGTCTGTTTATGGAACTGTAGGAAGCCCCCTCCTCTCCAGATTAAAATATTCTTTATTCTTAATATTAAAAAGAGGTGGAATAAAATATTTCCCCAAAAGAAGAAATGGAGAAAAGTCTTAACAAAGGCAGAAAGCAGGGCCAGTTTTCCTGCCATAGGAAAAAAAAAACATTTCAAACTTAGAAGCTTGAAGAGGCTGGCCTTTAGAATGCAGATTTTGTATCCATTCATAAAGGTCAGTGATGGCAAACCTTTTAGCCACCGAGTTCCTAAACTGGAACACACGAGCCAGAGCGCTGAAAACCTGAAGATGGCCAACGTGCACCGGCCATCTGGTTTTCAGGTTTCCGGTGTGCACATGCACACCGGCTAGTTGGTCTTTACGCATGCTGGAGCACCGGATATCCAAAGACCAGCTGGCCACAGTGTGTGTGTCCACAGAGGAGGCTCTACGTGTCACCTCTGCCATGTATTCAATAGGTTCACCATCACGGAACTAAGCCATCCTATTCATAAACAAAACACCTTCAGCCACAGCTCCCCCAGGCTGGAGCTGATGGTATTAAGAATTTACACTCCCCACCCAAATTCTATGGATAGGACATGACCTTTAGGACATAACAATGTTGGAAGAAAAATCCAAACTGAAAATAAAATGGAGGCTGCTTAAGAAAGGTCTGTTTATTGATGAGCAGAACCAACACATACACAGTGTGCAGTTTTAGGACAGTGTGCAGTTTTAGGACAGTGTGCAGTTTTAGGAGAGCTGACAAATTATCTTGATGAGTGCAAGATTTTATATAATTTCTGAAATGCTGCTGCGGGTTTTGCAATGTCTGAAATGCCCTTAGGAGGGTGTGCAATGTAGTGAGCTCTGTGTCTTTTGCTAAATGGTAGCGGGTTAATCCTATTATGTCCTTAAGGATCATGTCCTGTTTTTAAAATTTGGGTGTAGGAGAATGTAAATTTTAATCCCATCGCTGGAGATGAAAGTCTTTTGTTTATGAATAGATTGGCCCGGATTTCTTAATCGGCACAAAATATCTGCTGGGCCTATTAAGACTGAGTCAGCTTTCTGCCTTTAAGAGCATGTTTCTCCATTCCACCTTTGGGGAAATATAATATTCTGCCTCTTTTAATATTTCCCCAAATATTTCATTCTTCGGGGGGAGGGAGGCTTCCCACAATAGGATTAACCCACCACCATTGAAATAGTAATACATTGCACATCCCCCTGGAGCAGCGGTTCTCAACCTGTGGGTCGCGACCCCTTTGGAGGTCAAATGGCCTTTTCACAGAGGTCGCCTAAGACCATTGGAACTCTTTAACTCTTTAGACTCTAAGCGTGATGTGTCGCTCTCTTGCACGTGTGCGCATGCACATGCACACCCACAAATACGCACGGAGGCACAGGGAAGTAGGAGAAATGCAAACGTAAAAAAAAATAGGGAGTCTACATATGTGTGTGGGGAGGGGAGAGAAATCTCAGTTGCACTTCTGGCCCTTTAAAAAAAATTGTGTAAATTGGAATGAGGTCAAATTTGGAGCTACTCATTGCAGTTATTGGGTTCCAAGCCAATCGGAGCTGAGGGGCAGGGTTTTATCACAACGGAGTGTTGGATACAACCTGTGATTGGCTTAGAAAAGAGCCAAGGAAAGATAAAGCCGCACGATACGGAATTGAGCACCGCTCTAAGCTGCAGCAAGAGAAAGTGTGTGTAGTGAGGCGGGGGAAGAGGTCAAGTCTGTAATTTGTACATGTTTCTTTCCTTGTGGGGGGGGGGGGCTGTGCATCTACAGGCGAGCAAGATGGGACTCTATACATTTACTGCACCAGTCAGTTTTTTCTATTGGGAAGACACCCGGTTATTAATGCTACTCGGTTGCACGAGCGGGGCTTTTTACCCCCAGCTAATTCCTTAGCAGCCACTGAACAATCATAGAAATAACTCTTGATCCCTCTAATTACGAGTTCTTTGGGTAAAGATATTTTTTTAATTATTATTACCGGTTTCGCTTGGCGATGTGGGCCTTTTCATTTTTTTAGGTTTTTGTATGTGTATCAAGATTTTTACATTTATAGAGTAGCAATGAAAATAATTTTATGGTTGGGGGTCGCCACAACATGAGGAACTTTATTAAAGGGTTAGGAAGGTTGATAACAGCTGCCCTAGAGTATCTCAATCACAAAACCCCAGAACCCTATAAAGATCCATCCATTCACTCAGCTATTTTGTCAGCCACCTCAGAAACATGCTGCTGTCACTGGTTTCTGGAAACCAAAGAGAAACCTTCTTTCCTTGTAGTCAGCCTCCATTAATTTTTTTTTCCTCCCAGCTTGAAACCAGACTGGATTTTTCTTCCAACAGAACTTTCTCTCCCTCTCCCTCCTATATCAATTGCGTCATTTCAGCATCAAGAAAAGAGCAATTTTAACCCAAATGATTAGATTTTTGCTTAACACTTTACATTGAGACTGATTAGGATTAATGTAATAAATCTGTGTGTGGGAGAAAAACAAAACAGGTATATCAATAATAAATAGGGAACTCAATGACTTTTCATTTCAAAATAAACTGTAAATAAATAAACTATTTATACCAACTCAGTCATTGGGAATTAGAAACAAAAGAGAGGTAACCCAAAAATAAAGTCATTAAGCAAAAAGCAGTAGGAGTCCCAAGTAAGGAGTATGGGGTGGAGTGGCCAAAAAGTCCTGGGAGGCCTGAGGGAGTGACATAGTAAATACATCAGGACAAGATTCAGTAGTCTATCAGCCTTTGAAAGGCAAAAGTCACTCTTTTGAAGACAGCAAAGTCCACATTCTGGATAGAGGACCATTGGTTTGAAAGGGGTGTAAGAGGCCATTTATATTAACACTGAGCATCCCTCTCTCAACCAAGGGGGAGGGATACCTACCTCTTATCTACAACACAGTCCTTTCGGCAGTTCCAAGAAGATTCTACCCCATATGCAGTCTGATATAGGTGACCCTGAGGGCATACATAACCCCCAAGTGGCCTCAACAGCTCTCGGGGAGAGTACTAAGATCAGATGATTGCAAATAAATATAATCCTTCTAAGCCTGCCCCATTCTGTCAGAAGTAGAGTATAGAGTGGGGTGGGGTGGGATGAGATGGAATGGATCAGAACAGAACAGGAAGGGACCTTGGTTCCTTTAGTCCAACCCCCTGCTTAAGCAGAAAACCCTATACCAATTAATCCCTCTATACACTATGACCATTCAGTGGCACTGGAAAAATAGTGACTTATGACCAGTTTTCCTCAAACAGGTGATCAAACTTTGGGTGCTTGGTAACTGGCAGGTATTTTCAATGGCTGCAGCATCCCAGAACCCTGGAATTGTCATTTGCAACCTTCCTATGGAGTTTCCAACAAGCAGTGTCAATGGGAGAAGTCAGATTCGCTTAATGATTGCTTGATTCACTTAACTACAGTGATGTGCATAACAGGGGCAAAAAGGTCATAAATAGAGCATGACTCACTTAACAATTATGCTGCTTAACAACACAAATTTTGGGCTCAATTGTGATCATTAAATCAAGGACTATTTGTAATTTCTATTTTATACAAATTTAAATAAGTTTTAGTTATGTATTTTTATTATGACCAGGAAGTGGATAAGTTGAGATTGATGTTTGTTTTTTAATGTATTTGGGATTTGGCATAACCAGTGGCTGTGTGTTGTCTCAGGTTGTGTTGGAGTGTATCTTGTTTAAAGTTTGCATTTAGTAATGGCTTAATGAACTGCAGGGATATAAAATTTAGTTATTAATGCAAACCTGTTCCACATACAAACTGGATATATGGGTTCCTTGTTAGAAGAAAATTGTTTATGTGAAACAAATTGTTTTTAATAGCCATTTTTTTAAAAAAAACTTAAAGTATGCAAGCTATCATTTAAAACAAGTTATATTTCTGACAAAAAAGCATGAAAGCTTTTTTAAAATCCTTTTAATTTTAGTTGCTTCACAACCGTAGTGAAACTCAATTTAAGAATAAATAAAATTTGGCATTAAACAGATCACCAAATTGAATAAAAATAACAAACAAAAATCCTTTTTTACTTAGAACCATGTACAAACTTTATTCACATTATAATTATAAATGAGAATTTGAATCATACCAGATTCTTTATAAAACCAAATAAAAACCAAAATGCACAATAAATCTTTTGGAATACTGGCAACAACGTTCTTAAAGATTCACATTGCAAAAAAGTTAGATATAAAAAAGCAAATCCTTACATGCAAAAGTGAAGAAGTTCTGATGTTCCAGATTGTTGCAAGTTATAACTCTCAGCGGTTCCAACCAATATGACCAATCATATGGGAATTGTTATTCACCAGCATCTGGTCACTGCTTCTCTACTTTTGCCACCATATATAAATTATTGCATAATAATTTTGGATAACACCAAAGATTTATGCAGTAAATTGATTTCAGTGAACAATCCAGTGGATTCCTCAAGCACTTCCTACAGAATGGATGCTTTCTTGTATTTCAGAATCAGAGTCCTCTCTGTCATTTCTAGAAAGGTCAGATTCTTGTAGATTTTTATCTTCTGTAGTAAAGCCCGTGGTGTAAGAAAGTTTTTTTGAGGAAGCTTTACTATTTTCAACAATAGGAGCACCAAATTTGTTACCAAGCACATTGATAACAGGTTCAGAGACTGAATGTCGAGCGGTAAGTATTTGCCTCACAGAGGAATCCCTTGTTTCCAATTCTAGAGGCTGGCTGTTCTTCTCAGATGCTGTCTGGGCAGGTTTTGATTCATGATCTTCTATTTTCCAACTATCTATTTTAGCTTCAATGTCTTGCCACAAACTTTGCTGGGATGGACCAACACCTTGACGGTCTTGAGTTTTTGCTGATGCAGGTAGGTCATTATTTACTGCTTGAGATGAATCAAAGTCTTTCTGGAAAGTGAGAGGACTCAGAAAAGAGGTAGTGCCAGCATTCTAGGAAGAAAAATTTAAACAATTAAACATGTCTCTGAAATAATTGTGCATATCTAAGTATAATCTATTTGCAAACCTAGCAGGAATTCCACTGATAAAGTATGTCATGATACACTGACTATTGTTGTTGTTTGCTGCATAAAGGAGAAACTTAACAGTGAGGGTAATTAGCCAGTGGAATAGCTTGCCTTCAGAAATCATGGGTGCTCCATCACTGGAGGTTTTAAGAAGAGACTAGGCAGTCACTTATCTGAAATAATATAGGTTCTCTTGCTTGAGCAGGGGGCTGGACTAGAAGACCTCCAAGGTCCCTTCCAGCTTGTATTCTATCTTATCCTATCCCATTCTTTCCTATCCTATCCTATCCAAAGGAAAGGAAAGGACAGGGAAATCTTACAAAACCTTCCAAAAGTGTAGTTAATAATTGCTTACAATAGCTTACTTTTTGTAATGGTTTAGTCAGTTAGCTATGCTGCTAATGGCATATGCTACCATCAGTCACAAGAATGACAATTCGTATAAACCGAATAAGTCATTTCACAATTTAACAGTGCCACTTCATATGTCTGAACTATTAGTTTAACCCAGATTCAGAACATTGAAATACTACCATAACTCAGTTCAGTTAGGATGTAAATACGTTCACTCCATGGTTCCTGTTTCAGAACTATCTCGGTATGAAGATGTAAAGTGTATGTGTGTTGCATTTGTGCTGATAAATAAATAAATATGCATATATTATATTATTTGATTTATTACATTTAGAAGATGATGTGATTTCTTTTTCAAAATGCTATATGTCAATGGATCTTTCATTAGCAGGTGTTTTAAGAAACTGAATGAAGTCACTCTATGTAAAGTGCTTGAAACACAAATTCTTGTGCTAAATGTTTAGTTATCAGTAGTAGCTACAAATTATGAGGAAATGACACAGGCCAATTGGTGGGCTTGCTCTTCAATTTGCTGCACAGAAATGCAACAAAGGATAAAAGGACAGAGAGCATGTTCCTCTCTGTGAGCCCATAACAGGCTAGTAAAAAATTAGTAACAGAATTATTTGAATACATGTTATAGACATGCTAGTAGTAATAACGATATCTGGTACAATGTGCTTCATTTTTTTCAAATATGAAGTCACAGTAGCTTTTGTTAATAGTAAAGCAAAACTTTCTGTATAAATTCCAGTTCATAAGTTTTATCATGGCAGTGCTTTTAATAATTTTGATATAGTCATTAATGAGAACATCTATGGTTTCATCTTTGAATTTACACAGTAATAAAGACCCAACAGATACCTGAATCCAACACAGCAATGTTAAGCCTCATCATGATCAAAATGAGTAAAACGTGGTTCATAGAGACAGCAATACCAAAAAACAATAAAATTGACAAAAAAACAAATAGGAAAAGTAACAAAGTATTGAGTTTTGAACTTGAAGGACTTTGGAAGAAAGTTCACTACAATACTAACAAGTAATTGCACCTCAAAACAAACAACATTGGAAAAAATATGTAATAAAAAGGGGGGAGGAATCCCACACACATATAAACCATATTATCCCCCCCCCAGCTGAATTATTACAATATTGGTTTCTCATTTCTTCCAAAATAGGTCTGGAAAAATTTAGTAATTGGAGCTCTTGAAGCCATGCCATTTTCTATTTCTTAAACTACAGGGAATCCTTAACTTACAACCATTTGTTTGATGACCATTAGAAGTTACCACAACACTGAAAAGAATGACTTATGACCATTTTCACACTTACAACCATTGCAATATCCCTGTGGTCACATGATCAAATTGGATGCTTGATATGCAGTTCATATCAAAATGGATGCTTGGTAAACTGTTCATATTTATGACAGTTGCATTGTTCTGGAGTCATGTGATCATCTTTTGTGATGTTCTAACAAGCAAAGTCCATGGGGAAACCAAATTCACTTAATAACCATGTTACTAACTTAATGACTGCAATAATTCACTTAATAACTGTGACAAGAACGGTCACAAAATGGGGCAAAGGTCACTTAACTGTCTCACTTAGCGACAGAATTTTTGTGCTCAATTGTGGTCACAAGTCAAGGACTGACTATACCTGGAATTATATTGGAATTGGTGGCCTCTTAATCAATCAACAAAGTTATAAAATTAATAGATTCACTTGTTGTTGCTGTTGTTGTTCCATATCCGTCATTGGACATCGGCGATCATGTTGGCAATCCTATTTTTATTAACAGCCGCACAAAAATATTCACTAAATATCTGAAAATTTAATAAGACTTGATACCATTGACTTTGCAAAAAAAATTGCTTAAAATTTCCTACATATGAATCCTATGCCCTTAGTTAAAACCCAACTATGATCTTCATTGAATGAATAGCTGTTATTTCTATTATTTTCATTATTATTTACAAGGCTGTTCAAGAGTAGCAAAGGAAAGAGGAAAGACAGAAATGCAGAAGAGAACTGTGAAAAATTTGTAGGTAAAAGCAAGCAAATAGTTTTTTAAAAAAATACATTGTGTATTTTTGGCAGAGAGTTAACAAACTTACTTTAAAATTCTGCATGTGTTCTTGTCTTTCTTCTTCAAATGACTTCTCCCTTTCTATCACAGTTGGCTTTGCAGTAGTAGTCATTTGGGGAAGATGTAATACACCAAAATCTGATTGCTCTATACCAGCCATTGATGCAAGCTGTCCAAGGCTGCAAAATATGAAAATATGACAAATGCACAAAAAATAGTGAAACTATAAATTTTTAATTTAATTATTTATATAATTAAGCTTTGAAATAGTAGAAGATACTAAATTACTATTTTATTGCAAACAAGAGAATCCCATGGACCAGCCATCCTCTAAAATTATAAGGAAAGTTGTCTTCAGATATATTTTAAATATATTTTTTAATATATCACAACTGGAAGAAAAATAAATACAATACAATAAAAACTCCAGAAAAAGGACAGAGATACCAATTATGAAATACATAATTTCTTTCTTATTTTTGCCCCATAATCTCATTCCAATAAAAGGGTATGCTTTTGTTCAGTTGTTCTGAACTGGACTAGTTCTGCCCAGCAATTTCTTTAAAACCACGGGGGTTGGGGAGGGACCTTTAACAAATCAGTTTTTGCTTTTCAAGAATGATTAGGTAATTTTGATATTTTAAAAGATAAAGCACTGCTATTCTTTAAACCCGTTATACACAGACATACAGCATCAAGGATCATTCAAAAGGCAATCAATGGCTTCTCTTACCCAGCATCTCTAAGAAGATCTAAAAAAGCATGAAACTTTTGGAAAGAATTCTCAATGCTACCAAGCACTCCTTCATCTTCTAGTATTGTGCTGGCTACTGACTGTGCATGGACAACTTCTGAGAGGGAGCAATTTATATTCCGTAATTGAGTGTTTTCCAATTCCAACTATAATAAATAATGAAACAAAATTGTATTAATACTGGAAATACCTTTTCTCCAATAAAGATTTTTGAAATGAAATGCTATCATTATTTCCCTTAGATGCTCCCCTTCCTTTCTGGTATCCCAGTTTAAAGATGAAATAAGAAACAACAGCCTTGTTTCTTAGTGCAGTAATAAAGAAATGCAGCAATAATGGCCACATAAATAAATATTCATCAACTAGGTTGAGAATTCATCTGCAATTTGCAATTCCATAAGGAAAAGGACAAAGAGATAAAAACTAATGTTCTTCTACTTCTCATTTGCGGAAGAAAAACGTTTTGCTACTATGGTATCAAAAGCATGCAGCTTATCAGAAATCACTTGGTGCACTATGAAAACTTTAAAACGCCCATTTGTTTATACAGATTATCAGTCTCTGAAACCAAATATATCTAGATGCTATAATAAAAGGGGGGAAGAGAGAAAAATCAAAGGAAGGAGTATCCCAGCAGATACTGCAATGGTGTTACCTGACAATTCAGTGACTATATAATGTATTATGTTCCTATAGGTTTCATATTTGGCCCTCATGCCAGGTAAATTTGGGCTCTTGCCAATTCTTACCCAACAATATTACATAGCATGGAAACTATTTTTTTATAAAGTGGAGGTCAAATATTTGAAGAAAAACATTGTATCTTATTGCATATTGGTATCCAAGAAAGAAAATGACTGCTACCTCCATTATCCGTTCTTCAGCAATCATCCTTGCTTTTCGTTCTTCTTTTAGTCTTAAGTGACATTCTTCATACTCCATCTGTCAAAATGCAGACTGTGATCCTCTGAAGTATTTACAATGCTATTTTAAAGACAATGCACTTAAAACGGTCTTATTTTAGAATTTTGAAATTTCTAAATTTCCTCGGTTGAAGCATACATTCTGATCTTAAAGTGAAAGATTTTAACATTTTTAAAAGTCAAATTAAAAATAATATACTAAGCGAGAGGGAGAAGCCAACATTGCGATGATATGGATGTGCAGTCTCGATGCTCCGAGACCGCTGCCAATACTTTTGCCGCTGGATGGTCCAATCGGACCTAAACCATCCCGTAGAAATGGTGAACAGGAAGACTACGTCTTGCTGATCTCAGGGACACCACAAAGTCCCTGATCGATCCAAGAAAAGTTCTTCAAACCAGCGACAAAAAGTCCAGCCCCAGGCTGATGAAGTTGGGATGGCTCCAGAACAGAAGGGAAGTGGAAAGAGAAAGTGTGTCCATCTGGTGAGGAAACTTTACTGTTTTGGAAAAATTGCCCCCCAATTTTTTTTTAAGTTAAATTAAATCCAAAAGCAGAAGAAAACAAGCTGCAAAATTAACCTATATTGGATTGCTTTGGATAGTGTGTTTCTTTTTCTTTGTAATTCTACTTTGTGGATTGAAGTGCTCGCAACTTTTTTTTTCTTTTTAAAGAGAACGGATCAGTTTTTCTTCTATTTTTTATTTTTTAATCTATGGATTAAAGTCTTCTTCTTTATTTCAACAATGACTTTTGTTTCTTGCTATTAATTCCATTTAAGAACTTTGTTTCTTTTAAGTTTGAAATAACATTAGAGTGGGGGAAGCAATTCTGCCACTTGGAAACTGGAGGCTTGAGTTATTGAAACAATGCACTTTCCCTTTTCCTTTTGATCTCACTGACTTTGTATCTTGAGGCACTGCAACTTGTTTATAGAAAGTGACAAGATGAGATGATGT